TTCACTTTAACCCTTTAACGCCTTACTTTTGTTTAGAAAAGAATTTTTTATAAATATTTAAAATTGCGAATGAATTTTTTAGAAATATTTCAAATGACGGATGAACTTTTTTAAATTAATCGGATTCGTTTGAAACTTGTTACTCTGGCTTTTTGGAGTCGCTGATTACGAATGTAAAATCAGTTTTTCAAATTTCAAAATGGTGGATCCAATATGTCGGACAAATTTTTAAAAATGGAATAAAAGTTCTATAACCTCCTCGTGGTTGATCTTGGTGATTACAAATAAAGTAGGCAAATTAAAGAGCCTCGCAAACATATTATTATAAAAATCCAACAAGTTTTTTAAAACTCGTCCGCCATATTGGATCCGCCATTTTGAATTTTGAATAACTGATTTCATATTCGTAATCAGCGAACCCAAAAACCCCCGAGTAACTATTTTCACACGAATACGATCAATTTGAAAAAATTCGTCCGCCATATTGGATCCGCCATTTTGAATTTTGAATAACTGATTTCATATTCGTAATCAGCGACCCCAAAAACCCCCGAGTAACTATTTTCACACGAATACAATCAATTTTAAAAAATTCGTCCGCCATATTGGATCCGCCATTTTGAATTTTGAAGAACTGATTTCATATTCGTAATCAGCGACCCTATAAACCCCCGAGTAATAAATTTCACACGAATACGATCAATTTTAAAAAATTCGTCCGCCATATTGGAACCGCCATTTTGAATTTTGAAGAACTGATTTCATATTCGTAATCATAGCGACCCCATAAACCCCCGAGTAACTATTTTCACACGAATACGATCAATCTGAAAAAAATTCGTCCGCCATATTGAATCCGCCATTTTGAATTTTGAAAAACTGATTTCATATTCATAATCAGCGACCCCAAAAACCCCCGAGTAATAAATTTCAAATCAAACCCATCAATTTTTCAAAATTCGTCCGCCATATTGGATTCACCATTTTGAATTTTAGAAAACTGATTTTATATTCGTAATCAGCGACCCCGAAAACCCCCGAGTAACAATTTTCAAACGAATCTGATCAATTTTCAAAAATTCGTTCGCCATATTGGATCCGCCATTTTGAATTTCGAAAAACTGAGATCGGATTCGTAATCAGCCACCTCGAAAACCCCGAAGTAGTCATTTTTCCTAATGTGTTACTGAAGAATATATGTTATTTATTTTACTTCATAAATTACCTACAATTAGTGACTCATGGTGACTCATAAATCACTTGGTCCAACACTTGAGAGTCAAAAGTCATTATGAGTCTTTAAAGAGTCTTTTACTTCTGATAAACGGTAAGTGATTTTCGAGGGGCTATACTGTTTCACAGTGACTCGCATGTGATTCGTTTTGACTCTTGGTGACTCATAAATGACTCAAAAATCACTTCTACAGGAATTGCTTAGAAGACAAAAGACAATATGATTCTCTAATAACACTACTATAGGGTTATTAGAGAATCATATTGTCTAATAATCTACAAGAGACTCTTGAAGACTCATAAATTAATTCTACAGGTGTCACTCATAACATTCGTTATGAGTCCGTTAAATATTTTTGACTCTGATTATGAGTTCGTCATGACTCTGTAACTTATCTGATAGTCTAATATAAGTGGCTCTTGAAGACTCTTAAATTACTATTAAGTGATGATGTCACTTTGGAGCCAAAAGTCGTTATGAGTCACTAAAAAGTCTCTGAATCTTGATAGGCGGTGGTGGAGAAACTCATAAACAGAGTCAGAAATATTTAAGATTCTTTGACGAATTGTAAATATTTTTTACAAGAATTACTTTGGATGTTAGGAGTCATAAAGAGTCTCAAATGAAACTGAATTTTTTAATAACTGATTCCTGAGGATTATTGATATAAATCATAGAGTGATTTTTGAATCATTAAGAGTATAACATACTGGTGTGACTCACTCTTAATTCAAAAATCATTGTCAGAGGAGTCATTTAGTAATTTAAGAGTCCTTATAAGACACTCAAAAGTTTATGACTCTTGATAATCCGCGTATAGGTGACTCTGGATAAATCATAAATCACTCCTGAAAAAATCACTTGGGAGTCAGAAATAAATATAAGTCTCTCTCGACTCTATTACTGGCTGATAATCCTTAAGTGACTCTTAAAGAATCAAAAATTACTTTTGCAGAAGTAAATTAGAAGTAAAAAATCGTGAGTCACTCAAATTTTTGACTCCTGTTAATCAGCGTCAGTGACTCTTGATGACTCAAATTACTTTTACAGGAAACAATTGAGAGTCAAAAGTAATTATGAGTCTTTCATGAGTCTCTGGTTCTGGATAATATGAAAGTGGATCTTGAAGTCTTATAAATCACTTTTTCTGGAGTCAACAAAGAGTAAAAAATTCATTATGACTCACTTAAAGTGACTCATAAAAATTTATGAGGAATCACTTTCACTCGAATAAGTTCGGAGTCAAAACTAATTATTAGTTTTTCATGAGTCTCGGACTCATAATAGTCTAAGTGTCTGTTAAAGACTCATAAATATCTTTTACAGAAATTACTTGAAAGTCAGGAGTGATTATGATAGTCTTTCATGAGTCTCTGATTCATGATTACTCGTAAGTGATTCCATATGACTTCTGCATCACTTGTGAGTCAGGAGTGATTATGAGTCTCACTTCTAATCAAAAGTAACCAGTAATTGATTCTTTGTGACTCATAAATCACTTGAGATTAAGGACTGATTTATGAGTCTCTGATTCACGATTGCGCGTAAGATATTCCACATGACTCATAAATAACTTGTGAATCAGAAGTAATTATGAGTCTCTAATGAGTCTGACTTCTAACTCATAAATCACTTGGGAGTAAGGACTGATTTATGAGTCTTTGAGTTATGATTCCCGGAAAGTGTTTCTATATGGCTCACAAATTACTTGAGAATCAGGAGTGATTATGAGTCTCGCATAAGTCAGACTCCAGATTATCATAGAGAGTGATTATTTGTGATTTATAAATCATTTTGAGCTAAAGAGTAATTATGAGTCTCTGATTCATGATTGACCGTAAGTGACTCTTTATGACTCATAAATCAGTTTTGCAGGAATCACTTATTAGGAATCAGTAGTAGTTATGACTCTGTGATTCCTAATAATTAGTTCATGAAAATTATTGATTTATAAGTGAAGGAGTCTTAAGGACTCATAAATTAGTTTTACTCTAAATTTTTAGAGTCCAGAGTCACTATAACATATATGTAACATAATTAACTTATTCTGACTCTTGTCTCCCGAAAGACTAGTATAAATGTGATTTATGAGTTATTAAGACTTTCTAACTTCTGAGGAAAGTTAATTGTCCTTTCAAAATCTCATGAATCAAGAACTCTCCTGAACAAGTTATTTGTTGTCACAGACTCATGTGAAACTCATAACTTTTTCTAAATCCTATTGAGTGACTTATGACTCATAGATGAATTCTAATGAGTGACTCCTGACTCTTTGGATGAATCACAACACTTCAAAAAGAGGTGTCTTATTTTGAGACATTTTTAGCGTCTTAGACACCAAAAACTTCTTAAATTAAGAAGACACAAAAAACACACACAAGTTTTTTGTCTAAGACACAAAAAACGTCTCAAAATAAGACGCCTCTTTTTGCAGTGAATGACTTGAGTGACTCATGATGTCTGCTAGATCACTTGTTCAACGAAAAAAAAATAATTTTTGTTTAAGGCTACTTTTTTTATGTATCCGTATGCGAGGGCGACTTCCAAGTGATCACAAGTCATTGAGTTAGTTAGGAATCTCAACATAGATAACAACTCTCACTGGGAAAACAAAATAAAAAAAGATAGATACATAAGTCTTCAATGATTGATAGAATCAAATATACTCCATTTGAATAGAAGTTTTAGAAAAAGTTTTCATAGTTAATTTTTCAAATTCACATATGCCACACAATTAGCAACATCAACTGCCCACTCATCATCTTCTCATCAGCTGACATTCACAACAAATAATCTGCTAATGACAACTTTCTTTAAAGAGTTGTGTTGAAAACCCTCATCCCCCCACAAATTTCCAAGCGCGAAACGAAGCACGTGGTGTTCCAACACCAGCACACGAGAAGAGACCCATTCGAATTGTGAGTGAACAAGGATGCGTGTGACTCTCTCATGCAATAGAAGAACATAAAGTATATGCAAAAGATCCAATAGTGTTTGAGTGTGGTAAGCTTTCGAAGTAGTCAAATGTTTATGGAGGGGGGATTAGGGGAATCGTCTCTTCAAGTGGAAGAGATAGCCAGTTCACTTGAGAGGGGAAGGGGAAGGCATAAGTAGTGGTGGGATACGAATGTTAAGGGGAAGGGGACGCCGGAGGCGGGCGCGCGCCTCAATTCACCAGCAACCAACACTCTCACCACATCTGGTGAGCAACTGACACACTATCTCGATTTATACATTTTTTTTTCTCAAAAAATTAGATATTTCTCTTCTTTTTAACCCTTTGGGGTTATTCTCGAACGATTTGTGGCAATATTACAGGTTTTGATCTTTGGCGATTGAGTGAGAGAGAGAGAGAGAAAGAGAGCGCCTCTCACGCTCTATGATTTATAAGGAACGAAAGGGTCAACAGGTAGTCGATCGTCTCCGAAGTTAAGTGAGGAAAATGAAAGGCCGCTTCAGATAAGAATCTTTCTCTCTCTGTCTGTCTGTCTCTCTCTCTCTCTCTCTCTTTTTCTCGAAGAGAGAGAAGAGAACGTACAGAGAGAGAGAGAGAGAGGAGTCTTCAACTTTTGATATTCTCTTGTATTTAGAGTTGAAGACACTGGGGAGTATAATCCGCCAAGATTGAGCTCCGCCTCGACACCCCTCTCTTTTCTCCTCACACTAGCACCCCTCCCCCGCTGCATCCCCCTTGACCAACTGGCTACTACGTCACACATGCTTCTGGCGCGAGCCGCCAAGGCTCTCCTCAGAGTTCAGTCGTTCAGTGAGTTACGAGTTGTGTCCGGGTTCGCCGGCGTCAATTGTAAACTACAAACTTTAGGTTTGTTTGCAACAGGTTTTTTTTTTGAATTTATGGGACAATAAAAAGAGTTTGGGTGCGTGGTGCGCGTCTCCTTTTTTTTTCCTGAATCGGATCCCTCTTTTAGCAAATTGTTCCTCGTCGCCCTAAAAGAGCGGTGGCTATCAAACTCTCATAAAACTGTCAGCCGTGAACCGCTGGGCTTGACTTATATGCTCGCCCCTTCCAGGTTTGGTCCCGTTCCTCGAAAACAGGATTCATGTGATGATCTTGACTTTGGAGAACATGAATGTTTGAGAAGAAGGTCTTCTATTTTGAAGAATGATATCTGATAATAAATACTCTTTTGATACTTTGAAGAATCTCTTCTGATACTTTAAAGAACCTCTTCTGATACTTTGAAGAACGTCTTTTGATAGTTTGGAGAACGCGTATTTTTTGATGATTCCTCTTTGGTGAACTTGTTTATTTTCTCTTCGGGGGGGAAAAGGGGGCGCGTGCGCGATGATCCAGGATCAGAAATAGCGGAAGACTGACGTTTAGACGGCTAAAGAAGAAAAAGACCCCTCCCCACCCTAAGCAAAAGGGAATATCTCTCCATTAGCTATCCCCACTCTTTTCGTAACACCCCTCTCATCCCTTGTGTGACGGGAGCAGCAGCGACGGAAGAACGGGGTTGAAGAATCCACCGCGGCAGCAAGAGAGACCAATCAAGGTTTGACGAACGGCGGGGATTGGTCGGTGTTCCTGACACGCAGCGCGGCACGTGACAGCTACCGCACCGGTTACGAGAACCGCGAGAACCGCGTTCAGTCCGATACCACCTCCCTCCGTGTACGCACCGTCGAGGATATTCCTCTTTTCTTTAATAGAAAGTTAATCCACAAGAGTAGTGACCCTTTCGATACGCCCCCGTGCCATCTTGAAACGTTTTTTCTGCTAATCATCGTCGAGAGTCTTTCTCAATGGGGCGCGCCAATAGGCCCTCACGATGGGTCCCGTAAGTAATTTGTGGTCATAAAGAAGCAGAAGACAGTTTTATAGCCCTCGGCCCACGTGGCGCTCGGTCCCGGTATTCAGCCTCTCTCTATTACTCACCCAAATATCCTCGGCAGGGATCAGGATTTCATTCTTAAGGATTATCGAATCATTTGTGAATATAAGTGATAATGCTCTCGAGTACTTAAATTTTTTTTTTTTTTGTGAATTGTGATTGTGAGTGAAAGAGCGAAGAATCATTAAAAAAAAAAATGAGTTCCTATCAGTTTGTCAATTCGCTCGCATCTTGTTACGCGAATCAACAACCCCAACAGCAACCACGGCCGACGCCAAATTCACCTGGTGAACCAATGCAAGCCGCCTCGCCTGCTGGTCCCGATTATTACAATCCAAACGCAGCGACTAGCAGTTATCCAACACCATGCTATTCCCCGCAACATTATCCTCAACATCCGTACGCAACCCCTGCGGGTGGAATGCAACATCCCGCCCCAACGGGGATGATCGACTACACCCAACTTCAACCTCAAAGATTAAACCCCGCGACAGCGAGTCAACACACTTTGCATTCACAACAGTCGCATCATCATAGTCAACAAATGCATGTCGATCCCACTGCTCCATTATTGCAGGCGGCTTCCGCTGCTGCTGCAGCTGCAGCCGCATCATCAACGTCGAGTTGCAAATACGCGGATTCAACATCCTCGACGAGTGTTGCGTCACCACAGGATTTGACCACCTCAACATCGAGGAATAGTCCCACACCAATGGGCACACCTGGTACCAGTAAAGGTGCATCTGGTCTCACCTCACCACCGGGAAGTTCCTCCAGGTCATCCGCAGCGGCTTCCGCATCATCGCCGCCGAGCGGTAGTTCCCGTGGTCTTGGCGAAGGTAGTTCCACATTGACAAATGCATCGTCAGCATCGTCACCTGCCAGTTCCACTTCCAGTACATCGAGCACTGGAAACAATTCGTCGAATAAAAATAATTCAAGTGGAGGAAATCCTCCGCAAATTTATCCCTGGATGAAGAGGGTTCACATCGGTCAAAGTGAGTAGTTTTTCACAACTAGTTGTTCTTGTTAAACAATTTTTGAGTTGTTGCAAAATGATTTGATTATACTATACTTATTGGACTATTAGGAATTTCTTTACCGAACCGTACCAAAACTCTATAAGAATCAAATCAGAATTAAGAATTTCTTTACTGAACCGTACCATTAAAACTCTATAAGAATCAAATCCAAATCTTAATAAAAAATAAACGGAGAGAAACTGTTCTAATATTTAACAAATAGATTATTTAACTTGATGAGCTATTCGATGTTTGCTATGGTCAAAAAAATGTTCCACAACACTGTTCCATAATTTAAGAAACAGTTTATTAAATTTGATGGGCTATTCGATGTTTGCTATGGTCAAAAAAATGTTCCACAACACTGTTCCATAATTTAAGAAACAGATTACACTCTAAATCAGAAATTCTTTACTGTACTATACCAAAATACGAGAAGCACCAAATAATTAATTCCAAATCATAATTAAAAATAAACGGAGAGAAACTATTAAAAAATTTAACAAACAGATTATTTAACTAGATGGGCTATTTGATGTTTGCTGCAGTCAAAAAAAATTCTAAAAGGTGTGACTACTTTTCAACTAATAGTTCCAATAATACAATAAGTCCTCACATAAATTTAAAAAGTTGTATTAACTAATAACTATACCAAAAAGTAGTTAATAGAACTAAGCATGAGCTTAGAGCAAAATCAGATTTTGTAGTTGTTAATTGAACTAATTTTTTTAGTCAAATAAACTATTGTTTATTAACAACTTTATACTTTTTCTAAAGATGTTAAATTGAGACAAAATAGGAATCAAAATTGTTGCAACGCTACAATTTTTATTCGATAATTCAATAAGTCCTCAAATAAATTTAAAAAGTTGTATTAACTGTACCAAAAAGTAGTTAAAAGAACGAAGAATGTACTTAGTAGAAAATCAGATTTTGTAGTTTAAATTTAAATAATTTTTTCTGTCAAATGAATTTTTTAACAACTTGACAGTTTTACTAAGAATATCAAATTGAGTCAAAAAAGAAATAAAAATTGTTGAATCGCTAAAATTTTGTTTCAGTAATTCAATAAATCCTCAAATAAATTTAACATGTATTAATAAGTCCTAAAATAAATTTAAAAAGTTGTATTAATAAGTTCTCAAATAAATTTAAAAAGTTGTATTAACTACCAAAAAGTAGTTAAAAGAACTAAGAATGTTGGTGCAAGATTAGATTTTCTAGTTGTTAATTTAACTAATTTTTTCATTCAAATGAACAATTATTTTTTAACAACTCTAGAGTTTTGCTAAGGATATCAAATTGACACAAAAAAGGAATCAAAATTATTGCGATGCAACAATTTTCATTACTTTTTTGTGCCAATTTCATATCCTCAGAAAAACTGTTTTTAAAAATAGTAAAATCAACCAGACAAGCATTGTTAGTAATTATCATAACTCAAAAAGTAATTAATTTAACTATTTTCTGATAATGGTAGTTAAAATTTCGACTACATTTCTTTAAAGTACAAAATATTAATAGAGTTGCTTGTAAAATGTCACAGCAAAAAAAAAAAAAGAATAAGAGACACATTCTCTTCTTTTCCATGTGACAATCTGCTAGGGACACTATTAAGATTTTTTTAGCAGACACTAAATAGCCCGGGTTTAATAATCTGTTTATCAAATTTCAAAATAAAATATCCTTCCATGTAATATTTTGTACACTGGAAAAAAATTTAGTCAAAAAATTCAACAACCATTATGTCCACTGAAAAAAATTCTTTTTCAAGTATCAACTACTTTAAGTATAGTAGAGTGAAAAATATAGTTAAAATAATTACATTTTTAGTTAATCTAACTCTGTTTGTATAGTAAATTTTACCATTTCTTATGTAGGAAAAAATTTATAATTTAATCGACTAAGAAAAGTAGTTAAATTTCAAAAACAACTACAAAATTTTATTTCATTAACTACCTTCTTATTTCTGTTAACAACTGTTTTGTGGTGAACATAAATTTTTTAATTTGGTTGAGGACTTAATTGAACTAAGCAGAGTAATAGTTAAAAAGTATCTACTAAGAATTTTTTTGAGTGCAGTCGAGTGAAAAATAGTTAAAATAATTACTATTTTAGTTATGCTTACAATTTTTGTATACGTATAGTTGATTTTACTATTTTTATGTAGTTTTAAAAAATAGTTCAATTTTTATAGTTCATTTGATTAAAAAAATTAGTTAAATTAACAACTGTAAAATCTGTTTGCCTCAACTACATTCTCAGATCTTTTAACTACTTTTTGTTATTTAGTCAACAAATAATAGTTAATTTAGTCAATACAAATTTTTAAATTCAGTTTCGGATGTATTGAATTATCGAGAGAATTATAAAAAAGAAGTCAAATCTACTAGAAATTATTTTGAGTGTATTAAATAGTTGAGAAATTGAGGGTCTCGATCAAAGAACCGGTTATAATTTTTTTGAACTAACAATCATTGTCAAATAAATCACAAGAAGAAAACTTTTTTAATTTTTAGAGGAGTTTTTTCGTAATCTCTAAAAATACGAAATGCTTACAGAAATTATAAAATTGAAAGTCCTTTTTTCATTTATGAGACGTGAATTTTGAGTCTTAAAAAATTATAAACGGTTCTTTGATCGTGGGCCTCAATTATGATGAAAAGGTGAAAACAATAAAACAATACATTAGAATTTGAATTAACAGTCAAAAGTTCTACTACAGAGTTGGTAGTGTAGAAGTTTTTAGGATTTTTAAATAAAATTTAAAATAATATTTTTCGGAAGAACTAATAATAGATGAAGAAGAGGTACATTCTTTGCTTACCACAAAGAAAAAGGAGTTCAATATCAAAAAAGAAGTATTGGGTGTAGCTTTTTTTTACGAAAATACTGGTAGCAATAAAAGACCGGTTATAAGAAATTATCGACTGTTGCCCCCATAATCATTGTGACGAGAAATTTTTTTATTGTCATGATGATAATGGTGAAACATTTCATGGATTTCATTTGATAATTTTCCAAAGAATAAGTTCTTAAAATAATTCAATATTGTTGAACTAAATATAATTCAATATTTTTAATAAGATAAATTTATTGTATTTGTACTAATAATTACAGAAGTAAATACAATTTTTTTGATTTGAAAAAAAATATTTTGTTTGAATAAAAATTGGTTAATTATTATTACCATATTTTATTTTAATATAAATTGGCTCTTATTATTACATAGTATTTTATTTAAATAAGAATTATTTGATACAAACAAATATTTGATAATAGACAACTAGTGGTTTGTATTTGAATCGAATAAATTTTTTTTTCAGTACATTATACATTCTAAATATTAGGTAAATAATCAGACATTAAAATTCAAAAAGTGCGTCAAGATTATTGAAAAGTAGTGATAAATAACGATAATTAATGCCAATTTGCAAAAAAGGAGACCGATTATACAAAGGTATTTGAAAATTCAATTACTTTAAATGTTTCTTTTCTTCCTTTAATTTTCAAAAAACTTAAAAACTGTCAATTATATTACACAATGATGAATAATATTTTCCTCTCGAAATTTATTCATCATTTCTGTTTACTATGAATATTGTTTCTTTTTTTCACAAAACGATTGCTTTCGAGCAAGAAAATTCAAAGTCAATTTCGAAAAAAATCTTTTCTAAATAAAGAAAAAGTTAAGGAAAAAAAATTTCGAAAACCAATTTTCAAACTATTTTTGAAAGCTAGTATCCTCAAAAAAAAATTTGGAGCATACTTTTGTATTTCTATGGGTTTCGCATATAATACAGTTCGGGAAGTTCCTTCAAGAAAACAAAAAAAAAGAGAGAAGAGAAAAAAACCTTGTCTCCGTCCATGTGTGGTCGACAAAGAAAAGGAAGTCACAAAGCGCACATGTTCCGTGTAAGAGAGCATCCAGCGGTATTTTTTTCCGTGCAGATAAATTCGTTTCATGTGCCCGCGCCATTAAGGAAAAACTTTCTCGGACCTTACGCTTTAATTTTTTTCCCTCCCCCTCCCGATTTTGATTAAATTTCCACTAAAGCGGAAGAAATAAATTTCATAATCGAAAATTCTTCATGATACAGAAGATGTAACGCTTAGGCTTTGATTCTTTCTCTTCTCGACTGTTTTAGTTTACTTTTGACTGAAATTATTTACAAGAAGAACTGTTAGGACCATTTTTGACTGAATTTCAGTCCATTTTTGACTAAAACTGTTTACAAGAAATTTAGAATAATTTTTAACTGAATTTCAGTCTTATGAAAGTAGGAAAAAGTAAGTCTTAGTTTCAGCCTATTTTTACTATAACCGTTTACAAGAAATTTAGACCAATTTTTGACTGAATTTCAGCCAACTTTTGACTAAAACCGTTTACAAAAAATTTTTATCAGTAAAATCAGGAAAAAAAAATTATTTTTCAAAGAAATTATAAAAAATAAGATTTTTTTCTACTTATTTTAAAAATTTGAGACTTTTTCTACTTTTTTTCCAAATGTTGCAACAAAATACCATATTTTTTAGAATAATATCCAACTTATTTCGATTTTTATAGTGTAAAAAATAACTATGAAAAAATATTCCAAATTATTTTTGAATTATTTTTTAACATTAATTAAATTTGTCAAATATGTCTCTTAATATTTTTGAATAATAGAAATTTTGTAAAATTTAATTGAAAATTAATAATTTTTGCATCAAGTATTTTGTTACAATTTTTGAAAATCAACTTTTGAAGAATTTTAATTGCAAATTTTGAAAATAATTGAATTATTAAAAATTTTAATAAAAAATCTTAAAATTGTAAATTTAAAAGTGAAAATTAATGAAAATTAGCTTCTAATTTTTTAAAATTCAATATTTTCAGTATTTTCAAATATATATTGCCGAAAATTTAAATACATACAAAAAAATAACATTTTACAATTATTTTAAACATTTTTTGTAAAAAAAATCATTTTCAA